ACTTGATTAGTTACCAGAGAACTAAAATAGTTGTAGGGAACCTTTTTTCCTGATCAAGGAATTCACTAAGGAAAGGGGAAGAAGGAAGAGGAAGACATGTAAAAGTCATGCACATATAAAAAGCCAATGAGTTTACACTTTTAAAAAAGGTGAAATAGGAAACATTTAAACATGAAGGGGGGTGAGTGGAAGGGAGGGGAGTGAAGGGGGTTGTAGACTCAATCCCGAGTGTGGGGCGTTCCTCTCTCATTCCCTTCCTCTCTGAAATAAATAAAAACATATTTTAAAAAAATGAAGGAAATAAACCTTATCAGAAGATATAGTTATAAAATCCAGAGTGAAAAGCTTGTATAAATGCCTTATAAGGCCTTTACTAATTTATTACCCAAGCTGAAACTTGCTCAGATTCCTTTCTAATGAGCGCTTTCTTTGTCTTATTTCTCAGAAATGTATTTTTTTTGTCTGAAAAGTATAAGTTGCCTAATTCAGTCATTTCTTTGAGCTTTATTTTATGATCTGAGGAGTGTCATATTATGATTGCCCTGGGCACAAGCATTACATTGTGTTTCCCTGTTTACCTGGTTTTCTGGCAATTTTATTATTTTATTATTCCGGCCATAGAACTAAAGAATGGTGGGAGGGATTATTCCTCTCCCTGACCATTTGTACACTTGCTTAACTGTGGCTGTTGTGTCATGGCACATACTTATGTCAACACTTCTAATTGTACCTTTTAAATACGGGTAGGTTAGCCTTAGTTTTTTTTGTTGTTGTTGTTTGTTTTTTCTCAGTGGATAGAGCCTGCAGACTGAAGGGTCCCAGGTTCAATTCTGGTCAAAGGCACATGCCCATGTTTCAGGCTCGACCCCCAGAAAGGAGCATGCAAAAGGCAGCCAATCAATGATTCTCTCTCATCATTGATGTTTCTACCTCTCTCCCTCTCCCTTCTTCTCTGAAATAAATAAAAATATATTAAAAAATAATAAATATGTGCTGTGTATTATATATCAACGATACCTCAATAAAGATGTTAAAACTTTCAACTTCTTATTACAATTTTAAAAGAGAATTCTAAAAAGTAATAGACTCGTAATTTAAAACTAAAAATTAGGGAAGATTACAATGAAAGGGTGCCAACTGCCCAGTTCTCACCACCTGTCCCCCCACCACAGATAACAGGAATTATTTGTATTGTTGTAGACATTCCAAAAATTAATGTTTACCTTTACAGGTTATAAAATATCTTCATCTTTAGTAACAGCAAGTCAAACAAAGGTTTACATACCTTTAGAAGGGCAGGTAAGCCCTAGGAGAGCCTGTTACTTATGCCAGGCACTGAAAGAACACACTGAGACCCTTTTGATTGTTATCTATCTGTTCATATCCTTTGCCCATATTTCTATTGTATTGTGTGTTTTTTTAAAATATATTTTACTGATTTTTTTTTTTTTTTTTTTTTTTTTTTTTTTTTTTTTTTACAGAGGACAGAGAGTTAGAAACATCTATCAGAGAGAAACATTGATCAGCTGCCTCCTGCACACCTCCTACTGGGGATGTGCCCACAACCAACGTACATGCTCCTGACAATAATTGAACCTGGGACCCTTCAGTCTGAAGGCTGTTGCTCTCTCCACTGAGCCAAACCAGTTAGAGCTCTATTATATTGTTGATCTTTTTCTTCTTTTATCTCTTTTTTAAAAAGTATTTTTTCTTAATTTCTGAGAGCTTTATACATATTAGAAAGATTCACTCTTTGTTTAGGATATGAGTTGCAAATATATTTTCCAGTTTTTCTCTGGACTAATTTTTTTATTTTTTGGCAAAGCAGACTTTTCATGAAGTACAATTTAACAGTCTTTTCTTTTATGGCTTCTGGGTTTTAAGTCATAGTTAAACCAGCCTTTACCATTCCAAGCTTGTGAGGAATTCTTTCATGTTTTCTTCTAGAACTTTTATGGTTTCCTTTGTACCTTCAGATGGTTGGTCCATTTGGAATTTGTTCTGGTGCATGATGTAAGTTGTAGGATATAGTTTTTCTGCTTTTCTTTTAAAACACCGACATTTATTTTTGAAATAAAGCCTTTTCCCCCCTCCTGGTGTTCTAAAAGTATTAGCATTGAATCTGAAACAATGACTAATTTTTAGAAGTTTACTTTTAAACTTAGGAGTAAGGGAAGGGACATTTGTCCCTAATGCTTGAGAAGCAAAAGTTGCTTACTGTACAGTAAGGGAAAGTTACCTTTGAAGTCAACATTTATTTTCTTACCCCGCATTTTCCGGCGTATAAGACGACCCCCTAATTTTTACAGTTAAAACATAGGTTTAGGCCTATATTCGCTGTATAAGACTACCTCCCACTTCAAAGAAAAGACTTAATTTGCCGTCAAGATTTGCAGGTAATTTTTGTGCAATTTTGGTCTTTTGCCCCCGATTTTCGGTTGACTTTTTTTCGGTTCAAAAGTCGTCTTATACGCCGGAAAATATGGTACTCATGATGTATCCTTTTTCCCTGACAAATCAAAATTTGGTATGTGGGCGGGAATACTTTCCAGCAGATTGCCAAAGAAGATGGTTTAGAGTGGGGAATGGAGAACACAAAACAACAAAAAGCAACAGGAAAACTCCTTTATGCTCCCACTGCTCCTCAACAGCGCTTATCAGAACTTACTGAATCACAGGTCAGAGAAAAGAATTGTTCCTGAGCTGGAAGCCATCACGTCTTGGTACTGGCCCTGAAGCAGAGAAATCATAATCTCAGTTCAAGTCTGACTTAGCGTTACCGTGTGGCAGTAGGAGAGGGTAGCATTTCAGAATAGCATGGCATGCCGACTTATGGTGAATGGAGTCAGGCAGAAAAAAAAAAGGAGGGGGATGAGTACTTCAAGCAGGGAACAGCATTGGCAAAGGCACAGACACATGGTGTGTTCTGGGAACTGGTAAATTCTAACAGCAAGAACGCAGGGTCAAGGAAGGCAGTGGTGAGAGATGTCACTTTAAGAGATGTCCAAGAGCATTCTTAAGAAATGTCCACTGGCTGGCATGGCTCAGTGGTTGAGTGTCAGTCTATGAACCAGGAGGTCATGGTTCAGTTCCCTGTCATTCCTGGGTTGGGGCTGAATCCCCAGTATGGGGCGTGCAGGAGGCAGCCAGTTTTCCTCTTTCATCATTGATGTTTCTCTCCCTCGCTCCCTCCCTTTTCCTTCCTCTATGAAATAAATTCTAAAAATAAAAGAAATGTTCAGGAGCATTTGAGATCTTGTTCCCCAGCCTATGCTGTTAATTTGGCACAAATAAACTCATAAAAAAAGAGAAAAAAGTCCAAATCTGTGGAGCATTTTTATAGGTGTTTATCTGAGCCCAAACTGAGGACAATTGCCAGGAAGCAAGATCTCAAATGCCCTGGAAAATGATAGTTTTGCAGTTTCTGTTATGCATTAGAAATTAAGGGCTTGGGGACTGAAAGGTCCCGGGTTCGATTCTGGTCAAGGGCATATATTATACCTTGGTGGTGGGCACATCCCCAGTAGGGGGTATGCAAGAGGCAGCTGGTCAATGTTTCTCTCTCATCGACGTTTCTAGCTCTCTCTCTCTCTCTCTCCCTTCCTCTCTGAAAAAAATCAATAATATATATATATATATATATATATATATATATATATATATATTATATATAAAAAAAGATTATGTGCCCTCTTTTTTGTTTTTTATTGTCTAAAGTTTTACGTATGTCTCCTCCCCCCCACCTCCCCTGCCAAAGGACCTATGTGCTCTCTTTTTATTTTTATTTTTTTCATCTAAAATATTTTATTTTTAAAATTTCTTTATTTATTAAGGTTCTACATATGTGTCCTCATCCCTCCATTAACACCCCCCCACCCCATGCGCCCTCACCCCCCTGGTGTTCGAGTCCATTGCATACAAGTCCTTTGGTTGATCTCTTACCCCTCCCCGCCGCCCCACCCCGCCCCCCGCCCCTGACTTCCCCTGCCAAAGGGCCTATGTGCTCTCTTGAGGGTGGTTACCTAGAGGTGTAAGGGTGTGTTAACCTAGATGCACAAAAACGACGCATAGGGTCTGCTTAAGGCAAAGACTGACCTTTTACTAAAAAGTCATAGGCCCTGGCTGGGTAGTTCAGTTGGTTAGAGTGACGTTCAGATACGCCAAGGCTCTGAGTTTAATCCTTGGTCAGGGCACATACAAGAAGGAACCAATGAAGGCATGAATAAGTGGATCAAACCGATATCCCACCCCTTCCTCCTTCCACTTTCCCGAAAATCGATTAAAAACCAAAAAGTCACATGTCTGAGCTTGAGCTGTCCCACTCCGATAGGAATTTACGATTAGATCACCCCGGAGGTTACTTTCCCTAAACTCCTTTTGTCCTCAGATACCGGGAGAGATAAGCCAGGGCTGGAAGGCGAGGATTGTAAATGGGCTTTCTCTGGAGGGCAGTGGGAGCCATTAGGAGGTTCCCTGATGAACCTGCGATGTTCTGAAAAAGTCAGCCCTGTCCCACGGCCTCGCCTGGAAAGGCAGGAGGTCCACACTTAGGCTGTGTGGAAAGAGCCCCTTTGGGGGGCAGAGGAAAGCAGAGGGGTCTTGCTGTGTGCCTAGGGAGAGAGAGAGGACCCTCTTCCCCTGCCACGAGAAGGGGCTCCCTACCCAGCCTAACCAGGAGGGCCAGGAAATCTGAGGCGAAATGACCACTTGCGCCTTTTTCCCCTTAAAAACTAAACAAAGCAGTGTGTTCAGTGGCCCCTCAGGAAGACCAGTCATTTCCTGAGGAGATATCAGGCCAGCCCAGGCATTGTTCCCGGCTTCCAGCAATGGCCGCCATTACCTGACCAGCATCACAGCCCATCTCCTCTGGCTGCGCTGGGAGAAGCCCCAGTGACCTCTCTGTTCGCAGGGCGGCTCCGGCACTGCAGGGAAGAGTCTTCTGCCCCCGGGGCATGGCCCAGGGGCGGCTGTGACCGCCTGCCCGCAGCCTTGCTTTCGGGATGCAGCCGGGGTTGACCGAAGAAGGCAAGATGTGGCTGGGAGTCCTGCTAGTGCTTCTGCTCTGTGAGTTTTCTTCTCTTTCCACATCACTGCGCTTCGGGAGAACTGAAGCAAATGAAGTCACCGTATTTCTTCTGTCTTTTTCAGGTTCGAGCCTCGAGGGTCAAGAGAACTGTAAGTTGTGAAGTTTCTACCTCGGTTCATTGTGTCTTTTCGAGATTCTTAACTCTCATGTCGAATTGCTTGGGTTTAATATCTGTAACAACTGAGAAAAGATAGTCCAGTGGAGAGCTGAAGTTTATTGCTTTCGGACATTTTTTTTAGAAGGTCTTAGAAAGAAAAAAAAAACACGAAAAAAAACAAACAACCCAACAACTGTTGTTCTAAGCCAAGTTCTAATCAACATAATTTAGAAGTAGCATACCTTTGCTAGGTCCTAGTTCACTGCTGTCTGTTAGGTTTGGGGAGGTGATTTTTAAAAAGTGAGTGCGTAATTTGTTTTGTTATTGTTCTACCCTAAATTTCTCGATTGCCTGTTCTACCCACTTCCAAATGGTTTCATTCCCAGGTGAAATGTAATCAGTTGGTTAGATTCAGGAAGGCAGGACAGAGTGTAAATTGTTGTTACAAATGTTTTCTCCCAAATGACCTAAAACATACTGGGTTTCATTTCTCCTACGTCCATGAGGCGGCAGTTATAACTGCAATACCGTGTGGCTGTGCAGGGGGAGGGGGCTTATCCTTGGAGTCTGTTTGATCATCCACTTTGGAGCTAATTTTGAAGCCGGATAAGTGGATATGGTTTTGCTTCATCTTGGGCCCTATGATAGAGGGAACTGGGCTGGGGCTGGGGGCTTAGTGGGGCCCACGGAGCAGGATTCCTGGTCAGTGGTCACTTCAGTCAGCAAAGAATGGGGGTGACTGGTTGTAGAGAATTGTACAGCCTCTGGAGATGATGTGCTTGGATGATGCCGGTTTGATGAGCCAGGGCTCAGAGCAGAGGCTCCAGGACAGAGACCAGCAAAGCCCGTCGGCAGGTCTCCAGGTCAGCGGCCCATGTGCTACTGCAGGCGGTTGATCCTCATGGCAACCCATGGAGGCGGGATATCCATTACCATCCTCATCACCCCAATTAACTGATGGTGTCTCTGCATCTCAGAGAAATAACCGACTTGCCAGTTGGCAGGGCGTCGGCACTAGAATCTCCACTTTCCAAAACCTGCCGAATCTGTCTGCAGCCATAGGCCTGCCTCAACCCTTTACGGCCAGTCTCAGCCTCTGTGAGCCCTTTTCTCAGAGCGGGGATGATAAGAGGATTAACCGTGGAGTCTCGTGAGGGTGAGAGTAGCCAAAAGGAGGTGACCGGCCTGCCCAGCATGTGATGAGTGATGGTTTACTATCGCGCAGTCCTGGGTCCTCCCCCCCTTTGCAATCGCTCCCGCACCACCCCGTCTGTCCAGCCAGCCCACTCCCGCCAGCTTTTGACCAACCACACCCTGCCAACACTCCTGCCTCTGGGCTTCTGTGTCTCTTGCGCATCCTGTTTCCCAGGACCTCCCGGCTCTCCCAGCTCCTTCCCCACCTCACATGGAAGTAAATCACCTCCTTCCCGTGGTGGTTCGTAGAGAAAACGTCTTTGTAGCTTCAGGGAAAACCCGGGAACTGCATGACTCAGAGCAGGAGGCTCTCCCACTGCTTCCTCAGGCCTCCTCCTGGTTTTTTTACTTTTTCTTTTAATTGTTAAAAACACTTTCTATGTGGAAAGTATTACATAGATCCTCCTTTCCCTCCATTAAACTCTTCCAGCCCGCTCCTGTCCTGCCCCGCCCCATACCCTCACCACCCTATTGTCTGTGTCCACAGGTTATGCATCTATACACCCAAGTTCCTTGGTTGATCTCTTCCCATGCCTCCGCCTTGTTTTACAATTGAGGAAACCGAAGCCCGGAGGCCAGAAAGTCCTTGTGCACTGGGTGTGAGAGTGGAGGCTAGGGCCCGGGTCTCCCATTCCTCAGGCCACCCAAGACCATGCTGTCTGGGCATGGGACACGCATGACCTATGGCTGCAGGCGGCGGGAACAGCACCAGATGTTAGACTCATGGGGTCAGACTGGACCGGGGAGCTCTGGCTAGGAAAGAATTCAGAGCCAACATTCCAACTCTTAAGAGAATATCTATTTATAAAGTCGCAAAGGTAGAAGAAGTCATTTGTAGAAGAAATGGGCTTAGGAAACAAGTTGTAGAGGCAAAAGAAGGGCCCTCGGAGCCTGGGACTGAGGAAGGTAATGGGGTGGGGAGGGGAGGATGGGCAGGGAGGGCAGGAAGAGGGGCTGGGAAAGGGACAGGTGTGCTGCTGGGAGGAAGAGCCTGCAGGTCCTCTGTCCTACTGGTTTTATGGATGGAGATTTTAGGGGCGGTCCCATGGGAAGAGCTCAGTAGGATATTCAGCAGTTTCCCACGGGTGGTCTCCACTGATGGATTGGCCAGCACCAGGGCAGGGGTCATTATTTAACACAGCTGGTCCTGAGGTCAGCCCTGGGGTGGCTGGTTCAGTGGCTTTTCTGGGCCTGGGGCTGAAATACAACTGAGGCCTAGAGGTTATCCCTGGGAGGAAAGGCCCGGGGGCCCAAACCTCAGTGGAGATACTGGGGGAGGAAAGGTCACCCTGGGGGTGAGGTCCCACCCTGTCACTGTCCATCCATGGCTAGGCACCTCCTGTACCTGGCCCATCCTTCTTGCTCTGCTCTCGCCTGTCACAGCCCTTCACACCAGGAGCCTGCTCCACACCGCAGGCTCTCTGTGGCTGAGGTGCTTGGTCAGCTGGGGCCTTTTCCACTCCTTTATCTCAGGCCCTCAGCCCACTCGGTGCCAGTCTCAGGAGATGATCTCAATCCCATCTTCACCTTGAAAACAGTGCTGTCTGGAGAGAACTCCCTCAACTTCCCGCCCTGCCCTGGCTGCAGGCTTATCTGCATCCCCACCCATCCTCCAGGCTTCCCTCCAGATTCAGTGAGGCAGCTGTCCCACGCCCCTCCCTCCCCCCTTGCTTAGACCTGGGCCAGCCTGTACCCCTGGGGTCTGAGTCCAGGCCTTGCATTGCCCCCCAGGATCACAATCTATAATTTATGCAATTGCCATCCCACTTTTAGTATCTTTCCCTGTCCCCTTTCTTGGTCTTTCCCCACAAATGCGATTGGTGGTTCTTATTTTTTTTGGGAAAAGGAAAATCACACACAACCCACCCCTTCCATTTATCTCACGTCCCCTATCTCTCCGTTGGTTTCTGAAGGCTGGTTTATACTCCCTGTCTGTGCTTCCTCACCTCTCAGTCAGCCCTCACTTAGCACCTGACTGTGCACACATATCCCCCCTCCCCCTCCCCCCCCCTCCCGCTCTGAAAACCTCTCCTGGAGCCTGATACCAAAGCTGTGAACACTCCAGCCCTCAGCTCTGGGGCCCTGTGCTGCCTTTGCACTAAGTTTTCCTTGGCTTCCTGGACCCTGTTCCCTGGCGCTCTTACATCCCTGACAAACCCAAGGGAATGTGTGGACTTCCCCAGGAATAGAACTCCCTCCATCCTCTGTCTCTGCAGGCTCACAGGTCTCCTCTCTGGAATGGCTCAGCCCCCTCTGCTCCTCCACATGCTCCACTGATCTAGCGGAGCCCTGGCCTGTCCCCTGAGCATCATGCTGGGCCATAGGTGACATCTCCTCCTAGTCATCCCCCAGGTCTCTCAAACCAGTCTCACCACCTGACTTTCTTCTTCACCCTATCTCTTTCTGCCCTGTTAGTCAGCAGACACCGATATCCTCCTGGGTACCTAATCCAGGACCTTATTTTCCATTCTTGTCTCAACCCCCATATTCGATCAAACAAGTCTTTAAACATTTTTTAAATAAAGTACATATAACATAAAATTTACTTTTTATTAATGATATTTTGTATATTCATAATGTGCAAACATCACCACTGTCTGGTTCCAGAAACCTCCCTCTCGCCCCCAAAATAAGTCCTTTTGTGTCCACTCAGTATTTCTCAAGTCCATCCCTTCCCTTCATTCCCACTGCACCTGCCCTCTCTCAGGCCTCCTCAGCTTTCACCTGAACCCTGTCCAAGCTGGTCTCTCTGCCCAGCCCACAGTGATCTTTCTAAAGCTCCAGTGTCATTCTGTCACCCTTTTCCTAAACACCCTCAGGACAGGACTCAGCTTGTCAGCCCAGCAGGCAAGGCCCTCTATTCTGGCACCTCCTACCTGGCTCTCACGGCCCCTCTGGCCCCATACTCTGGTTCCGGGAACTGTTTGTGCCCAGATTCATTCATTTGTCATGCCCCTGTGTCCTGGTACATGCTGTTCTGCCCGAGCACCCCTGTTCTTGGCCAGGTTAAGGCTTGGTTCAGGAGTCACTTCCTTCAGACTTTCCTTGGCCTCTCCTGGACAGCCTTCCTCTTGGTGTTTGCATTGCTGTATTCCAGTTATCTGGGTCTCCACCAGCCGGTGTGGTCCATGACAGAAGGATGATTTTGTATTCACGTTGTAAGCCCACTACCTGGCGCAGGTGCTCGGTGAATGTCTCCTTGAAGGAGACTCCAACTGAACTTAGAGATATTTCTGATTCAAATGAGCAGTGCTCTATGCTGAGCACTGAAGTTCAGCAGGGACTCCATGCTTCATGACTCCAGTGATTTTCCAGACCATGGTGTGTGGCTTCTCCCCCTCCCCCTCCTCCTCCCTCTTCCCCCACTCCTCCCACCTTTCTTTCTGAGTCATTTCCAGGTTGAGGGACATGTGGCTGGCTGAGTCATGTCTCATCTTCCCAGAGCACCAGCTGACTGGTAGCTGGAGGCAGAAGAAAGCAGGCTCCTTGGTTGTGGGTTTGAGGATTTGGAACTGTGGGCGCTGTACTATGGTGATTCTGTTACTTTGGATTCTTCTTCACCAGCCTTCACCGCCCCAGATTGAAAAGACGTGACATAATAAAAAAAAATCTATCTATCTATAGATATAGATATAGATATAGATATAGATATAGATATAGATATAGATATAGATATAGATATAGATATATAGATATAGATTTCCGAGAGGGAGAGAGATAGAAATCTCAATGATAGGGAGAATCATTGATCAGCTGCTGCCTACTCACTTCCATTGGGGATCAAGCCCACAACCCTGGCGTACACCCTGACCAGGAATTGAACCATGATCTCCTGATTCATAGGTCGATGCTACACCACTCAGCCACACCAGCCAGCCAGATCTGACCTCTTTAGGCTGTTTCACAACCTTGTCCTTCCATCACAATAGTTGTAAACCTGGGTTTGGTAAGGGGATCTGTGGATCCGCTCTCTATAAAATTCACACTTGCACACAGTGGAGGTGGTTCATAGCCTCCTAACACCCACTGGTGAACTTGCAGGGAGCCCAGGTGGGGAACAATCACTCTGTTGTGTGAATAGTGAGACCTATAGGCCGTAGTAACCCAGTTTGGTTATTCCTGGGCAGTTTATTCACAAAGAGCTAATATTTCCCATTTTCTGTATTATCTTAATTATCAGGTAAATATTTTTGAAAATTGTTTGGGTGGTATATTTGTTATCTATTGCTGCTTAACAAATTACCCCAAAACTGTGGCTTAAGACAACAATTTACTGCCTCACACTGTTTCTGAGGGTAAGGAATCCAGGAGTGGCTTAGTTGGGTGGTTCTAAATCTGGGTCTGTCAGGAAATTGCAGATAAAATGTTGGCCAGATTACAATGATCAAAAGGCTTGTCTGAAACTAAGGGATCTGCTTTTAAGCTCAGTGGCTGTTCCTCAGCCTAAAAATAAGGAGCGTTAGAGTGTCCAGGAGACTCAGTAAGTCTCCAATAAGCCTGCAACAACCTACTAAATATCATTACCTCATCTTACCAATGAGGAAGCAGAGCATAGAGAGGTTAATCACTTAAGATCACATAAGAAATGATGAACCAGCCCTAACCAGTTTGGCTCAGTGGCTAGAGTGTCAGCCTGTGGACTGAAAGGTCCCAGGTTCGATTCTGGTCAGGGGCATGTACCTTAGTTGTGGGCACATCCCCAGTAGGAGGTGTGCAGGAGGCAGCTGATCAGAGTTTCTCTCTCATTGATGTTTCTAACTCTAACTCTCTTCCTTTCTGTAAAAAATCAATAAGATATATTAAAAAAGAAAGAAAGAAAGAAAGAAAGAAAGAAAGAAAGAAAGAAAGAAAAAGAAATGATGAACCAGAACTTGCATGCTTGTCTGCCTGAATTCTATGCTTCTTCTAGGGGCCACAGTGTGGCAGCTTATGTGCTACATATATTTTAAGGATGTGTTTTGTTTATTTTTATTTTTAAGATATATTTGTATTGATTTTAGAGAGAGGAAGGGAGAGAGAGAGAGAAAGAAACATCAATTATGAGAATCATTGATAGACTGCCTCCTGTACACCTCCTACTGGGGATTGTCCAGCCCACACTGGAGCATGTGCCCATCACACTTTCTCACTCATCTACCTGGCATTTTCCTAACATGAAAATGTAGGCATTAGACACGGTCCCAATGAACCTGGGACCTTTCAATCCGCAGGCCGACATTCTATCCACTGAGCCAAACCAACGAGGGCAGGGTCAAATCTTACTTGTCACACTCTGAATACTGCCACCTTGTCTTGGTGGAATATGAGCAATACCAACTGCCTCATGCTTGACCCACTGCCCAGAGTCATTACCCATTTGGCCCCGAAGGCATGTGGGACCCTGGACCCTATACTGCGTCGGGTGATGACAAGCCAGCGTGGTGAAGGTCACCAAGACAACGCTGTTTCTCAGATAACAGGAGTCTTCGTTTCTTCCCTTCTTATCTAGCTTTTACCATCAACAGTGTCCACATGGTGATCCTGCCGAAGCAGGAGGTGCAAAACGGGGAGAATCTGACCCTGCAGTGCGTCGTGGACATCAGCACCACTTCTCATGTCAGGCCTCAGCACCAGGTGCTCTTCTATAAGGATGACGAGCAGTTTCACAACGTCTCCTCCATGAAGAGCACAGAGAGTTATTTCATCCCCCAAGCCCGGGTCTACAACGCAGGGATATACAAGTGCACTGTGATTCTGAACAACAAGATGAAAACCACATCGGAGTACGAAGTGACAGTGAGAGGTGAGTCCCTGGAATTGAACGTAGCTCAAGCAGATGAAGCTAACACATGCAGTAGCAAGAACAGTGATTGAATGTGTAGTAACGCTAGGCCTCCCTGCTCACCTGTCACCCTTCTCATGCATCTGCCTGGCATTTTCCCAACCTGAAAATGTAGGCATTAGACATGGTCCCAACATGCCTGGCTATTTCTCACCATCTTGCCTTTGCACATGCTGCTCCCTCTCCCAGGAATACCCTTCTTCATCTCATCTCCTCATGAATTACTATTCCTCCTTGAAGACTCAGCTCAATGATCTTTTCTCTGACACGTTTCCAGAAAAAATTGATCTCACTCAGGAGGTCCTCACAGCTCTCCGAGGGTCTCTCTACATTCAATGGCATTTGTATAAAGGTCATTGAGTCAAGGTTTGACACTGGATTCTGTAGTCAGTCTGCCTGGATTCCAATCTGGGCAAGTCCCTGAACCTCTCTAAACTTTAAAATTCTCATCAGTGAAATGAAGATAATAATAATACCCAGCTCAGGGAATTTGGAGAGGATTAAAAGATACCTGTGGGTAAAGAGCTTAGCCTAATACTAGCACATAATGAGTGCCCAGTTAATGGCATTTACTTTTTTACTCGATATTGCAACTATTTCTCACTCATGTGTCTGCTTTTCTGGACTGTGAGCTCATGGTCTATTTTTATATTTCAAACAAAGAATCTGGCTCATAGTAGGCCATCAATAAATGATTGTGAAATAAATTAAACAGATGAAAAGGGGAAGTAGAAGTAGATGGAGAAACAGGAGAGAAATCAGTATGAGAAATTTGGGTTCAGAGATATAGGGTTTCATTCATTCATTCACTCATTCATTCTCTCAAGAAACAATTCCCAAGGCTGCAAGTCAAGAAAAAACCAGTGCAAGACATGAACGTGCATCAGGCAGGCCCCACCTCCAGAGGCAGTTGCATTCTGGTGGGGAAGGAAGACATTTACACAGATAATTACAGTCCAATAGCTATAAGATCTGAGTGGCTGGGGAGCACAAAGGTGGGAGGAAATAATTCTGCTTAGAGAACTTTGAGATGTCTTCCTGGAGGGAGGGACATCGGGTCCAGACCCAGAAGATCATGTAAGAGTTTGCTTGATGATGAAGTGGGACAAGAGACAAGTGGTATCTGTGAATGAGCAGAGGCTGAGAAAGAGGGGAATATCCCAGCAGGGTGCCCAACCTCTTGGGATCTTCATTTCCTATCCCTAATATAGAGATAACTAGTTAAAGGCATGTGCCCTTGAAGGATTATTTTGTTTTAAGGATTAAATGAATAGTGAATGAAGTGTGCTCAGAAACCAAGTGTTGAATGAATAAATGGCCCATCATGTATGAGGTACTGGGTCAGGCCATCCTTAGAAAAAAATAATGCTTACAGCAAACAGGATGCAGGAAGAACCAATGGTTAAGGGTCGGGTGGCATTTTCCTTTCATAAGTATGCAATCTCTGATCACTTTCTTTTCTTTTCCTTTTTTTATTTTTACTTTTAAAATTGATGTGCCCTGGCCAGGAATTGAACCATGACCTCCTGGTTCATAGGTAGATGCTCAACCACTGAGCAACACCAGCCGGCTCTGACCGCTTTCTTGTCCATCTTTGAGGCTCACATGGGAGAATATGACAGCACCATCTTTCAGGCCAGTTCCTCCATAGGGGTCGGGCATCTCTTGTGTTACCAGGAGCAACAGCCACAGAAATGCAAACCCGCCCTTCTTCTTCTCCCCTGAGGATAGACGAGGGAGCAGCATGCCTGGGCATTTACATTAGTGACGAGGAAAGAGTGGTAGATCAAGAGTTTTGGAAATGTCTGTTGGAAAGAAATGTGCCGGCAGGCTTTAGAAAGTTAGGGTACTTTTTCTTAAAACTTGGAGGATTGAATGGATAGAGTTAGTAAATTCAGCCCCAGGCTTTCTGACAGCTGCTGCCATAACTCATTTCTGCATTTTTGTGCTTTTGTGGTCAGGACAGTCATTCAAACTATCTAATGACTTCCAGTAATTAGAATTACCATTTATTAGGCTCTCGTGAGATAAACAGTTATAAGTGCTTGACACACATTTCATTTTACCTCCACGATAGCACTGGGAGAGAAGCGTAGTTCCTCCCCTTCACAGGCGCGTACTCTGGGCTCAGAGAGGTTGAGTTTCACACTTCATCAAAGGCAAAGCTAGAGTCAGAATCAGGATCTATTTGACTCTAAAGCTGACCTCTAAGTCGTGATTACTATGCTAGGTCTTTGAGGCAGACTAAAGGCAGTTGATCTATTCATTAAACATCTATTGAGTTTTTACTCTGAGCCAGGCCCAGCATCCAGCAGTGAGTAAGACGTGGTCCTGCCGAAACCGGTTTGGCTCAGCGGTAGAGCGTCGGTCTGTGGACTGAAAGGTCACAGGTTCGATTCCGGTCAAAGGCATGTACATTAGTTGCGGGCACATCCCCAGTAGGGGCTGTTCAAGAGGTAGCTGGTCGATGTTTCTCTCTCATTGACGTTTCTATCTCTCTGTCTCTCTCCCTTCCTCTCTGTAAGAAAAATCAATAAAATATACTTAAAAAAGAAAAGAAAAAAAAGACGTGGTCCCTTCCCGTGGGGAGCTCGGTGTGAACCTTCATAACAGCTGCACCTCAGCTAGCAGTGGTGGTATGAATACAGTCCAGGTCTTCTTCCCAAGCAGACAGTCCTCCATCTCCAAACTTGGTGGGTCCAAAAAAAGAGATCACTCTACCAGTTTGCTCAATGGTTAGAGTGTTGGCCCATGGACAATAGGGGTCTGAAGGGTCATGGGTTTGATTCTGGTCAAGGGTAGGTACCTGAGTTGCAGGTTCAATCCCCAGCAGTGGTTGGGGATTGGTTGCCGAGCAGGAGGCAACCAATCAATGTGTCTTTCTCACGTCGATGTTTCTCTCTGTGTGTGTCTCCCCCTCCCTTCTATCTTCTCTAAAAATTAATGAAAAAGATATTCTCAGGTGAGGATTAACAAACAAGAACAACAACAAAATTCATAAGAGTCATAAGTGACAGGGTGAGGTGGCACATCCAGGAAGAGCCAGGTTTAGGATGCAAGCAAGTCTGTCGGACTCCAAGATGAAGTTCATGACCACAAGACCATGGGGGCTGGACAGGACATCTAATCTCAGCCAGGTTCTCCCTGCTCCCCCTAATCTGAACTGGTTCACCACTCGATGTATCTTTCTCTCCACCTCTTTCTCTCTTCTAGACCTTCCCCTCACACACCTCAGCCCTAGCAGTTGCCCATGTGCGTGTGTACCCAGAAATCCTGTTCTTAGCCCCCATCCCACAACATCTGCCCAAATAACACCCTTCCTCCAAGATTCCCCTCAGACCCTGTTCCTTTCTAGCATTTTCTCTGAACCCCTAGGCAAAGAGATCCTGCTCCTTTCCTGACTTCTCCATCACCAACTGTCTCTGCAGCACCCTCTGATGCTCAGTTATTTTCAGCTTTGCTTTTATTTTTTAAAAATATATATTTTATTGATTTTTTTACAGAGAGGAAGAGAGAGGGATAGAGAGTTAGAAACATCAATGAGAGAGAATCATTGATCAGCTGCCTCTTGCACACCCCCTACCGGGGATGTGCCCGCAACCCAGGTACATGCCCTGACCGGAATCGAACCTGGGACCTTTCAGTCCAGCAGGCCGACGCTCTATCCACTGAGCCAAACCAGTTTCGGCTCAGCTTTGCTTTTAAATGGGAGGCCTTGCACACTCCTCTTTCCCTTCCCTCCTATATCCCAACCTCAGGCTTTGGAGTCAGACAGACCTGGGATCGAATCTCCACTCTGGGGGCTTGATAACCATGAGCTTTTAGATGAGCCTTGAACTTCCCTGAGCTTCACATTCTTCATCTGTAAAATGGGCATAGCTTTATCTTTCATGCTCACGCTGGAGGATTATTATGAGAATTATATGGGGTTATGAATATAACAACAACCACAGTAATACTAATGAATACTGGCTGGGCTATTTTATTTTTAACTTTTCATGGGGAGACTTGTTTTCCCAATGGGATTATAAATGTTGAAAGCACCAACCACATCTTCAACATATTTTGTACTTTTCAAAGTACTTGGTGAAGTGCTGGACACATACATGCTCAATAATTAATTACCTGGTAGGTAGCACTGGGTGTTCTGGGAATTAAAAAAAAAAAAAGAACTCTTATTATTTAAAAAAATATTTTTATTGATTTCAGAGAGGAAGGGAGAATGAGAGAGAGAGAGATAGACACAACAATGATGAGAATCATTAATCGGCTGCCTCCTGCACACCCCACACTGGGGATCAAGCCTGTAACCGGGGAATGTGCCCTGACTGGGAATCAAACTGTGACCTTTTGGTTCATAGGTTGATACCCAACCACCGAGCCACACTGGCCAGCCAAGAAAAGAACCCTTAGATGGGTCAACCACAATGACTCACTTGTGCCATTCAATCAAACTGATACTAATATGCTTTCTCTTTCCCCAAAGGAGTGTCCAGTCCCAGAGTGACACTGGACAAGAAGGAGGCGATCGAGGGCGGGGTCGTGATCGTCAATTGTTCTGTCCCCAACGAAAAGGCCCCAGTACACTTCACCATTGAAAAAGTCGAACTAGATACAAGAGTTCCCAAGCAAAAAAGAGAAAAAAATTCTCAGCACCAGAATTTTGTGATGCTGGACTTCACAGTGGAGGAGCAGGACCGTATGATCTATTTCCTCTGTCAAGCCAGCATCATTTCTGGGAAACACCTGGAGACCTCGGAGACCAGCAGGAGCGACCTGGTCGCCGTGAGGGGTGAGAGTCCTGCTCTTTTTTTTTTTTTTTTTTTTTCATTCTTTCTGGCTTGCTGGTTTGGTGCAGGGAGAAACAGCCCAGGATTGGAAAGGGGCTGGGGACTTCTGGCTGGGCTGCTGTTCTCAAGACTGTTCGTAATCACTTTAGGTTCATAGTTTTCAAACTTAAAAAAAATTTTTTTTATTGATTTTAGAGAGGAAATGAGAGCTAGAAATACCAATGATGAGAGAGAATCATTGATCGGCTGCCTCCTGGCAGGCCTCTCACTGGGGATTGAGATTGAAACCTGGGCACGTACCCTGATCAGGGATTAAACCGTGACCTCCTAGCTCATAGGTGGACACTCAACCACTGAGCCGTACGAGCCGGGCTCAAACTTTTTGACTGTGACACAGTTTAATATATATATGCAAAAAAGTAGTTTTACAGTTGTGAGTGTGAAACATAGAGTTTATTCTTGAATTAGTCTTTAGTTATTATTGTATTATTTTCCATATGAACAACTGTAAACCTGCTTTTGTCCCATGACATACTTGCACTTAAAACTTGTATACTTTTGCAAGTATTCTATTATATATATGATTCTCAAACAGAATTTCACACATGATACTTAACCTTCATATATGGTGCATTTTGCTCTTTTCTGTTCTATTTCCGTTTTTTTTTTTTTTTAAACTCTGGCCAGGACTCACTGAAATGATGTGCTGTGTGACCTGCAGTTTGGAAACCATAGCTTTAGGGCAATGTGGGTGAGACATCAAGAAGTGAGGTTTGAGGACATCAGGAGGGAAGGGGGCCAGGTCCTCAGTCTTTGCCTCCCACATTGGATAAGGAGCTCCCCTCTTCTCCCCACACCCCATCAACAAGACCTTGGACCAATAGGAAGCAAACGAGGCGACCTGAGAATTGCTCTGGGGAGAGAAAGATGACAGCAGAAGGAAGTCTGGGTGAGAGTGTCCAGGACAGGCACCAGGGGTAGATCAGGGGAAGGCACATTCTCATGCAGATAGCCGCAAATATTTTCAAAGTAGGAGCCCTAAAGCTTGGTAGATGACCCTCTGCTTTCAGCATCTGACCTCACCCCTGCCCATGTGTTTGTATATGTGTCTACATATATTACATTATAAGTATATTTATACGCATATATAAATATCATGTATATATAATATTCTCTTTAAAATAAGTTTATTATTTTTAAAATATATTTTTATTGATTTCAGGGAGGAAGAGAGAGATAGAAACATCAATGATGAGAGAGAATCATTGATCGGCTGCCTCCTGCTCAACCCCCACTGGGGATTGAGCCTGCAATCTGGGCATGTGCCTTTGACCAGAATAAAACCCAGGATCCTTCAGTCCGAAGGCTGACGCTCTATCCCCAGGGCCAAACCAGTTAGAGCTATAATATTCTTCTGATTACATTTCATGGTATGGGTTAAATTTCCAGGAAATATGGGATGATATCTATAATAATAAAAGTGTAATATGCTAATTAGACTGGATGTTCTTTCAGATGACCTTCTGGACAAAGCCAGGGCTATGAGGGAAGCCTGGGTCTCAGGTGCCAGCGGGAACCCGATGCTGGCAGCTGGGAGAGGGAAGGCCTACTCTTGCATGAATTTCGTGCATTGGGCCTCTAATAAAGTATAAAGAGCTCAGCCCTGGCCCATGTGGCTCAGTTGGTTGGGTAACGGTCCACGCATCAAAAGGTTGCTGGTTCATTTTCTGGTTGGGGCACATGCCTGGGTTTCAGCCTGGATCCCTGGTGGGAGTGTGCAGGAGGCAGTTGAGAGATGCTCCATTTTCACATTGATGTACAACTATCCAAGAAAATCACTTGTGTGGTCCTCTAGACTTATTCCGATTGTAGGTTCATACACACACAAAGTTTTTGTTTTTCTTTGTTTTTATAGAAAAATAGGACTTGTGAAACCATTTTATAACTTTTTCTTAACTTAATATGTTATGGATTTTTGTCCACATCAGGAAAGGTAGCTCTATATCATTTTAGTGCAGCTCGGAATCCTATTGGAGGGATGTGGCATAATGTATTACCTTTTTCCATTGATGGACATTTAGGATTTTCCCAGTTTTTGCTATTAAAACAATTTTGCAACAGACATACTTGCACTTAAAACTTGTGTATTTTTACAAGTATTATTATTATTATTATTATTATTATTATTATTTATGGGCTTGACTCCTAGTAGTCAAATTGTTGATTGAAATGTTTTGTGCATTTCAATATTGATAGATATTGCCAAAGTGCTCCCCCAAATGGTTGATTTGTATTTCTTTGGTCTCCAGTGAGGTTGAATAGAGTCTTTATGTTTATGGGGTCTGTTACATTTGACCCCATAAACTGCCTATGTGTATGCACTTGGCCCATTTTTACTGTTTCTTGTTGATTTATTTGAGCCCTTTATAAATTGAAGGAATTAGCTCTTTGGCACCATACAAATATTTCCTCCATTTTGTCATTACTTTTTATTTTATTTATTTATTTTTAAAAATATGTATTTTATTGATTTTTTACAGAGAGGAAGGGAGGGGGGTAGAGAGTTAGAAACATCGATGAGAGAGAAACATCGATCAGCTGCCTCTTGCATAGCCCCTACTGGGGATGTGCCCTCAACCAATGTACATGCCTTTGACCGGAATCGAACTTGGGACCTTTCAGCCCAAAGGCTGACTATCCACCGAGCCAAACCAGCAAGGACCACTTTTGGTATTTTTAACGATCCTATCTGTACATACTTTCTATACTCTGCTATTTTTTAGCAGGAGCGAGGGAAGGCCTAGCCCTGCTTCCCTTTCTGTCTCCTGGAGATTCCACTCCCTGGTGTCTGACACATTTTATTAAGACGGTGTTTTTAAACTGTGAGCCAGGAAATCAATTCAGTCAGTTACAACCAACATTTTAAAGAAAGAAGTAGAATACACCATTTTTGCATCTGGTTATTTAAATATTTATTTTCATGAAATAGCACCGTCTACACCACTGTCATTTTTGAAAGCTATGGACTGTTTATGCTGAAGTACCAGAGTTGTGTGAAACAGCGCGAGAGGAACCTAGATAATCCACGCTGGATGAGGAGAGAGTCTGTGTCTAATGACTCTATTTCTGAGGTCATTTGAAGAAGGTTCTGCACATGATTTGGAGACTTAGATTTAGAGACGATGGTTTAGCCTTTGGGAAGCTCAAGAAAGTTAGAGAATTGCAGTTCAGAAGAAGGTTGGAGATGCAAGAAGGAGCCAGAAGGGAGGGAGCCTCAGAGCAGCCTAGCCAAAGCTGTTTGAGAAGACAGATTGAGTCTGTTTTTAATTAATAAGGAAAAATAGTGGTTGCAACAAAAAGAGCAGAGAAGAGGAGGACGGGCCCCTTTCCCTCACCCAGGCTGGAACCTGAGTCCAACCGGCTTGTCCTCTTCTTGTAGAGTCCTTCTCCAACCCCCAGTTCCACGTCAGCCCCGCGGGGATGATCACCGAAGGGGACCAGCTGCACATTAGGTGCACCATTCAGGTGACGCACATGGCCCAGGTATTTCCGGAAATCATCATCCAGAGGGACAAGACCATTGTGGGGCACAGCAAGCAGGGCAATGAGGCCACCTACTCAGTGATGGCCACAATGAAGGAGAACGGCAACTACACGTGCAAAGTGGAAACCAGCCAGATCTCCAAGGTCAGCAGCATCGTGGTCAACATCACAGGTAGGGGTGCTGCTGGACGGTGTCAGCCTATTGCGGGCTCAAGAAGCAACAGTGCTGGAATCTGGGTTGGCCAGAGACGCCGATATTTCTACTCCTGCTTGTCCGAATGAATGCACTCGGGCGGGGGTGTGCTCAAGGGGAAAAGTCAATGCAGAGCCAGTAAGCAGTTAGCTGTGGCGGTTGAGGGTGCAGATTCTGGCATCAGATCTCAACCTTGCCACTCACCACCTCTGTGACCTCAGGTGACTTACTGAGTGCCTGTTGGCCACAACTCTATGAGATGAAGGTAATGACAGAGCACACTGCTAGGACCCAGTGAAGGTTAGCTAGTGTTTCTATTATTGGAGCTCATTTATCTTTCCTCCGGGCCAAGCACTGTGCTAGCATACCAGACAGGCCCTATGACAGGGGCAGGCGTGAGAAAGCATTAGCAAACTCACAAATAATGGTAACAATTCCTCTTTGTTGAACACTATGTGACTGGCTTGCATACTTTCGATTTCATGGTCATAACAATGCAATGAGATCCGTGTCATGATTGCACTTTTATGGATGTGGAATCTAGAGTGTAAGCTGATTAGGGCAGGAACATTACCTATTTTATACAGGGCCTGGCACACAGTAGGAATTTAAAACTTATTTGTTGCATGAACACGTGACTATAGGATGAAAGTGTCTCAGAGAACAGAGCCAGCATTTATTTTCTTTCTGTTTCTGATGTCATGAACAGGTATTTATTTTATTCTCGAGAGTCGGCACTTCTTTGTTCCCAAGTGAAGGCATTCACTCATTTCTCCATTTGTTCATTCATTTACTGAAAGCCTCCTGTGTGTTAAGCATTGAGTGTCGCAGCAACAGTCGTCCAGTAGGCTGCCAACACCCGAACTAGGTGATTGGTATGTGTACTGGGTACTGCTGGTCTATAGTGTGTGCTACCAATTTAGTTTATTGTTGATGATGACAAATATTTTGAGGCACATGATGTTTTTGTGACAAGTCTCATTTCATTAGAGGAAAGTATTCAATTCAACATATATTGAGCACCTTCTGTTTTTCTGGGCAACCTGTTGAGGATAGAGATCTGCCTAATGTCAGGCTTTGCCCTTGAAGAATTCACAGACATGAATAGACCTTAGAATGCAATGCAATGAGGAAGTCCCTAAAGGCTTGGCCTATTGCTGTGAGAGCAACAGGGACCAAGTGGTGAACATGTGGATTGTTTCACCAGTTAGAGAAGCGACCTTCTCCCCTGGGCCTGGCTACTTTAGGAAAGCATACAGCATCGTTGGGCCATAAGCTACTATTGTAGCTGATTACTCACATCCAGAGGTCTGTGTCATGCAGGGCATGTAAGTCATGTGGTGAATCAGTCTCTGTGGCACAGGAAAGCCAACTGTTATGCTCGGTCTGTCCCTTCACGCCCTCAGCCTGCGTGCACTGTGAGCCTGAGCTCCCTCCTTTCCATGTGGTGCTGACCCAGCCACCTCAGGACTGGCAGGCAGGCACCTCCATGTTCAAATTCTACCAAGCCTTTGGAAGTGTCTGCAAGCCCACTTAATGCACCTGGCTTTCCTTGTCCCTGTTACTATCAAGCCTCACTGTAAATGGCTCTAAATAGTAATATTGGAGGAGCAAAATAATTTTGTGAACCTAAAAATCATTGTATTTGTTTTTGGATAGAAAAAAAGGTTTCTTCCACCCCCCCCCCCCCACTGTCTTTCTTTTCAGACCCAATCTGTCACCAAGTGCTCACAGGTCTGTCACTGTTGTCCCATCTTTCTCAGCTCTGCAGTCACATCCTAACACTGGCCTCACACCGGGGTTCTCCCTGAGCATCTCTGTTCCAATTCACCCCTCAGCCAGCTGCAGAAGCCCTCGTAAGATGGCCCCTATTTGGTATAACTATTCCTGGGCTTTGACTCCTGAAGGGCCACGATCCTTCACCTTGATCCCACCCTCTTACAAGCATCTCTCCCCACTCAGCCTATCCTATCTCCTTGGCCACTGAAAACTTCTGTTATCCTTAAGAGCTAAGCCCCAAATCTCAATCCAGGCTCCCCCAGGCCGAGTTCCATAGTCACACCTCAGGTCTCATTGCCTTCTGCTCATGTCTTGATAACAAGAGTCACTGCAAAGATTTAGCATCTGTCTTCGCCACCTGCTGTGAGCTCTTGAACAGCCAGGTCTGTGGGCTCAATTCATCTTAAATCATTGGTGCTTAGAACCTGGCACATCTAGGAGCTCCATGAATATCCCTTCATGAGAGAATAAAAGACTGATCCTTGTTAGTCCATGTCATGGCTCTGCCAGTCTGTTTCCATTATCTCCTCTATTAGTAGACAGTTCCCTAACAGTTCCTTCCTAATTGTAAACCACCTGTACCCGCCTCAGCAACATGGTTTCTATTTTTGGCCTTTTTGTTTACATATTTTTAAATGTAAAGTCATTGCCTTGGGATTTTTTTAATCTAAGTCACTTTTTCACATTTGTTTGGAATCTGCCCAAGAGATTGTAAGGCACTTTAGGATGTCAATTTCTTTGGTTCTTTTCCCCACTCCTAACCTAGAGCTCTGAAAGCCAGCTAGGGTGAGGAGTCAACACCAACTGTAAGGAAGGAAGGAAGAGTGGCGTGTGCCTTAATAAAATATCCATTCATTATTGGGGCACCACCTTCCTTGAAGCTTTATTTTATTCCCTGTACAAGAAACTAGGAAGACACTGTAGACTAAATGGAAATCACTTCCGTAATAATGATGATAACATCAATGATGACAATGTTGATTTGTACAGCAGGCACATTTATAGACAAAGGTAGAATTCCATTTCCTGATTCCTGGTTGCATTCTTAAAACTCAAGCCCAAGAAACTTTCCTAACAGGAACTTTGGGACTCAGTTCCTTTCTCAATATGCAGAGAGTCTCAAGAATTACTGACTCCTCACACTCTCTGGTTTGGCTTAGTGAATAGACCATTAGTCTGTGGACTGAAGGGCCCTGCGTTCAGTTCCAGTCAAGAGCATGTGTCTCGGTTACAGGCTCCTCCCCAGCCCAGACCCTGGTCAAGGTGTGAGCAGGAGGCAACCAATCCATGTGTTTCTCTCACATCGCTTTTTCTCTCTGTCTTTTCTTCTCTCTTCCACTCTCTCTAAAAATCAATGGAAAAATATCCTTGAGTGAGGATTTGAAGGAAAAAAAAAAAAAAAAAAAGAATTAGACTCCTTCGTTCCGAATCAATGGTATAACCATGAAGTCAGGGTGCATTGTTTTACAATGCCAACTTTACATGTAGGAGCCAAGTCTTCACATTGGTTAAGTAGTTAATTAGTACTTTCCTTGTAGCTGAAAATAAAAGCAGATACTATAACTATGAAATATTGATGTATTTCAGGAAATATCCCAATAAGGCAAAACTGGCCTTTAATAAACAAAAAAAAGCTAGCAGGCAGAAGGGCCAATGTTTTAAATAAACAAACAAACAAATAAATAAATAAGGCAAGACCTTTTATAAGTCAACTTCCGTCTTTACTACTGTTGCCATGCAATCTAAATGAGGGTACTAATAACTCCTTAAAGTGACATAGGATGTGTAGCTCACAGCTTGACCTCAGGAAGTATCACCCATTCATTCTACTCCCAGAGATCTGCCCACAACACACATCTCTGCCCTCCCCCTGACCCAGACTCTTCAATCTTCCCATCGCTGTGGGGATGCAATTCGTACGTCTTTGGGTGGTTTCCAAGGTCCTTCAGGATCCACAGTCCTCCTTTGGCCTCTCCTGCTCCCACTATGTTCCAGGGCAACTGAACTTTCAGAGGCTTGAACATTCTGCCAGGTCTTCCAGATGCTGCTCCCTCTGCCTGTGCCCCTTGCCCTCTTTGCCTGGATGACTTCCTCCAAGTCTAGGCCCAGTGGCCCCTCTAGGGGCTCTGCTGCAAACACCGTGTTTGAGTCGCCCGCCAGACGTCAGCTCTTGGAAGTCAGGGACTGTTTCTTTCTCTCTATTGTCTCCCCAAGACCAACCGAGGTGCCCAGCACAGACATCGCTTGAAATAAATACTATGGAATAAAATGTGTGAGGGAATGGACAAATAGGTAAATGTATGAATCATTACAAGTTGTAAAACTTTCCTAATCCATGTCTATGAAATAATTTGGATTAACAAGGGATGCAAATGTGCCAGTTCTTCAATTGCATAATTATCAGGTCCTTGAGAGGCAAAGGGAACCTTTTTGAAGGAAGTTGGGAGTTGGTTCTGCCAAGAGCAGCTGGGCCAGGGACTCTCTGTGAAGGGGTTGTGGGAGTGGTTCCCAGAAACGTCTCGCTCCATCCCCACTCGCTGGTTTTTTCAGAGCTATTTCCCAAACCCAAGCTGGAGTCTTCCGCCACACATCTGGACCAGGGTGACATCCTGAACCTGTGGTGCTCCATCCCAGGAGCACCTGGAGTCGACTTCGCCATCCAGAAGGGAGGCATAAATGTGTCACAGGCTCAAAATTTCACCAAGATAGCCTCCAAATGGGACAGTGGGAGCTACACCTGTCTCGCAAGCATGGGCAAGGTGATCAAAAGAAGCAACGAAGTCCTGATAACCGTGTGTGGTGAGTACACCCTTGCTGGCTCAGAGTTTTGAGTGGGAAAAAGGGAAGTTGCCACTCTCTCTGGCCTGAAGGCAGATCAGACTGAGGCAGGATTAGAACTTGAGGGAAAGGAAGATGAGTGAAATCAAGAGACCGGACAGAAGCAAGTGATATTTCTGCTTAGAATACAGGAGAGGGGTGATACAAAGGAAATATTGTTGGCAAAAAGCATGGCTTTATGGTGGCTGGTGATGTGGCCTCTGAATTGGCAGGATTCTGATTGCTGGAGCAGGTACCTATCCATAAGGTCAGGCAGTAAATGATGCTTAGTCAACATCAAACTTTAAGGTCGAAGCTCCAGTATTTAAAAAAAAAATTTATTTTTGATTAAGGTGTTACATATTTGTTCATTACCCCCTTCCCCCACCATTGCCCTCCCACCCCACTCTCCACCTGCTGTCTCTGTCCATTGGTTATGTTTATATGCATGAATACAAGTCTTTTGGTTGATCTCTCCCCCTTAGAAGCTCCAGTTTTTAATCCTGGCTGACCAGAAGGTCATGGGCCACCTAGAGCTGCGTGTCTTAGACTTGATGAATGTGCAAAACCTGGTTACAGTGTGGGTCAGGATGGGGCCAGATTCCACATCTCTTATTAGCACCGTGAGGATGCTGGCTCTGCTGGGCCCTGGGCCACACTCTGAGTAAAGGGGTTCTAAATGAACTCTGACCAAGCTGTCACTGTCACTGTCATTACTTGGTCCTGGTCTTTCATTTTAACCTGTGGCTATGTTTTTTCCAACTAAGATCTTAGTCTGAACTGAACCAGTTTTCAGCCAATCCTCTAGTCATCTAACTCAAAAGGAATAATGCAACCCACAAATGTGGGTCATTCCATTTTAGTTCTTTTTGTTGTTCATTGGAGGAGGTCATTTCTTTGTAGAAGCTTTATGAATAAGCTAACTTTTAAGTAATGACCTAGTAGGATTCTTGTTTTGGAGGCATGCAATTTCCAATCAGGAGAGGCTGAGGCACTGGGAATTTCTTTGAAAAGATTTTCTGTTTGTGTTCTTGTTTTGTTTTTAATTTAAATTCTTTATTGTTGAAAGTATTACATATGTCTCCTTTTCCCCCCATTACCTCTCCCCGACAGCTCCCACCCCCCAGCACATACCCTTACTCCCCTACTGTCTGTGTCCATTGGTCAGGCTTATATGGATTCATATAAGTCTTACACCCCCCCCCTCTGCCCTACCCCCCAACCTCCCCCCCTCTGCCCTACCCCCCAATCTCCCCTGCCTTCCCTCTGCCCTACACCCCCCCCTCTGCCCTACCCCCAAACCTCCCCTGCCTTCCCTCTGCCCTACCCCCCAATCTCCCCTGCCTTCCCTCTGAGATTTGATGGTCTGTTCGACCCCCCCTCTGCCCTACCCCCCAACCTCCCCTGCCTTCCCTCTGAGATTTGATGGTCTGTTCGATGTTTCTATGTCTCTGGATCTATTTTTGTTCATCATTTTACGTTGCTCATTATATTCCACAAATGAGTGAGATCATGTGATACTTATCCTTCTCTGACTGGCTTATTTCATTTAGCATAATGCTCTTGTTTCTGTGTTTTTAATGCTTTTCCTATGTGCATCCTTTCTCAATACTAAAAAACAACAAAATAACCTCATATGGATGTGCACAATAAATATGTATGAAACAATAAACATGTATTTAGAGGGGCGTAATGCTTTTCTTGAATTTATATAATCTTTTATTTAGAGCATTCATTCCCTTTCTCTCTGTCTCCTCAACACACACACACTCCCTGACAATGTTAAAGGAGACCTGATAGGTAGATGAGTCAGGCAGGCACTTAAAATCAACAGAGAGAGTGAAGCCCAGAGTTTGAAGACAGAATCCCTTGGGTGGGATGTGTTGCTGAAGATTGTTTCTCTCTCTGTCGTTCTAGAAATGCTCTCCAAGCCCACGATTTTTTATGACTCCAAGTCTGAGGTGATAAAAGGCAAGACCATAGAAGTCCGTTGCCAATCCATAAATGGAACCGCGCCTATTTCTTATCAACTTTTAAAAGCAAGTAACAGTTTGGAGAATTACACCGTAGGCTCCAATGAGCCCGCAGTATTCAAAGACAACCCCACAGAAGACACCGAATACCAGTGTCAGGCAGATAATTGCCATTCCTCCCCTGCAATAATCAGTGAACCTCTGGTGGTCAAGGTGATAGGTAAGTTGCTGTGCTATGAGAAGAAATCAGGGGCCCTGGCAAGGTGACTCAGTTGGTTGGAGTGTCATCCCATACACCAAAAAGTAGCGGGTTTGATTCCCAGTCAGCATACATACCAGTACTTTGGTTTCGGGTCTGATTCGTGGTCAAGGTGTGTATAGGCAACCAATCAATGTTTCTCTTTCATATTGATGTTTCTCTCTCTCTCCCTGTCTCTCTCTGACTCTGTCTCTCTCTCTCTCCCCCCCACCCCCCTCTCCTTCTCCTTCTATCTAAACATATCCTCCGGTGAGGATTTTTAAAAAGTTATCGTGTGGGATGTGGGCTTTAGGTCACATTTTCAAAGCTTTGGGATTACCCAGGGATGGTGTGGACAAGGGAAGTGAATGGTAGTTATGCCAAGTCCATAAACATAACACGTAGCCAAGCAGGACAAGCCCCAGGTCAATGGAGCCAGAAAATATCTGGGGGCGTTTGGTGGTTCTCTTTTCAGAACCTCTCAAGTGAACATAAGAGTGAAGTATCCTGACTCTAATTGTGCTTTTAGACTCTCTTAGCATTTGCTCCTTTTTAGGTGAACTTCCAGACATCTCAGAGTTGTTGACCAGAATTCTTCTCTGTGGTTGACCCTTGTCAGGCAACTGTCATGTGAGAACCCGCAGTCATTAGAGCTTCAGGCTCTAGTCTCACAGGACATGCTAACAATGGCCTGGGACTCACATACCCATCGTCCTGGGTGGATATTTTTCCTTGAGTCTCTATCTGTGCCTTTCAGAGGCCTTAGGAGTGCCATTGCCTGCATCTCTGAGATAGTCTGCATCCTGTTGTAAAAAGCATATAAGCTTCCCTTCTCTTCCTCCTCTTTCTTCTGGCTTAATAACTTTTATCTACATGTGCCATGTGGACAGCTTGAGTTGGATAGAGATTCCTGCTACTATTAATATGTTGTCTAAGAATACTTTTCAAATTAACATCCGTATACATAAAGCAACTAATGCTTTAGGACATATTAAAAAAAAAGACATAGTCTTTGTTTTTAAGTTACTTGTTATTAAGAGCTGGTAATGCTATGTATCTTTGTAAGCAAAGAAACCACACACTCACACGCACACATACTCACACTGGTGCACACGCATAGTCATGCAGAATAGACCCCCACAGAACGCATAAGGTAATGGGTATAGTCAAGCTGAATGGTCAGTAAGCCTTGAGGTGGTAACTGAAGCATCTTGTGTTTAATCAACACATGAGGACAAGAGGCATCTGTTGCTGCCTTGCTGGACTAATTAGGGGAGGAACCGAAGAATGTGGGCTAAGAGGAGAGACAAAATCCAAGTCTGAGTCATGGCGTAGGTGGAGGCTAGCCATGAGCAGTGGCTGTGTCATGATCTTCACCCCTCAATCCCCAACCTCCTGTCTTTTCTCAGTGCTAATCCTTTTCCTGATTTTCAGCTCCAGTGGTTGAGGTCAAGCTTGCTATTCTGAATAATAAACAAGTGGAGTCCGGGGCAGATCTTGTGCTTCGATGCTTCGTGAACAAAGCATCTGGTCCAATCACCTACAAGTTTTACAGGGAAAAGGATGCCACGCCCTTCCGCATAACCACCTCGAATGAGACCCAGGCCATTTGGTACAAGGCAAACGTTGGCATGGAACAGGGGGGACAGTATTACTGCAAGGCCTCCAACAGAGCCAACACAAATGTCCCCCAAAGCAACTTACTAACTGTCAGAGGTGAGTCACTGGTCTCAGCAGTGAGATGGATGTGTGATCACCAAAGGTGAGGCCAGAAAACTCACCATTTGTAAGAGGAAGTGGGTGGTGTTTAGTGCTTATTACTGAAGGCAACGAGAAATGTCCTCCAAGCTCTTGGGTCATAAGTGACAGAAACCAACTCAAATTAAATATAAAAGGGGAATTGAAAGTATTACAAGGAATTGGAAGTATTTCATACAGTTGTAATTCCAAATCCTTGGTGGAGAGATAGCAAATGGCCCACCGTGGGTTAAACATCTACCCATGAGCCCACCCGTGGCCATGGGGATTGCGTCACGCAGAAAGAGATGGTTAAAGGAACCCACCTATGTGAATAGAGGGGGTGGTTTCCTAGAGAAGGAGGAAGACCAGCCAGACCCAGAAAGGCATCTACGTTCGTCCTCCAGTTCTTTAAAGACGATAGCTGACTCTGTAGCAAGAACAACCATTTCTGCACCAGCTCTGAGGTAGATGCTTGGTATAAGACGCAATTACAGGAGCTTCAGAACAGTCTTATTTGTTGCTTAAGGCTACTATTGTTTCTTGCTGGCAGAGAAGAAGAAAAGTAATTTAATTTTTCTTATTTCCAGTCTTTCTTGCCCCCTGGAAGAAAGGAGTTATTGCAGTGGTTGTCATCGCTGTGATCATTGCCATCTTGGCAGTTGGGGCCAGATACTATTTTTGGAAGAAAGCCAAGGGTGAGCACAGTTTCTTCATTGCCTTCTGACAGGAAACCGCCATGGGTGTGAGGGGCTTCATGCAACTTCAGGGGCGGCTGTGCTCTGCCCCAGCGGGAGCGCAGATGTAACTGACCACAGTTGTTCTCCTCAGGGTGTCACCTTGATAACCAAAGACCTTGGCTTCCGTGTGGTGCTTTTACTGCTCCTAGGCATAACGGAACGTGGTTGCTTTCTTAGTTGGGCAATCCAGAAGAGATGAATTCGGGGGAGCCGAAACCTGTTTGGCTCAATGGATAGAACGTCGGCTTGGGGACTGAAAGGTCCCGGGTTCGATTCCGATCAAGGGCATGTATAATACCTTGGTTGCGGGCATATCCCCAGAAGGGGGTGTGCAAGAGGCAGCTGATCGATGACTCTCTCTCATCGATGTTTCTAACTATCTCTCTCCCTTCCTCTCTGTACAAAATCAATAAAATATATTTTAAAAATATATTTTTAAAAAAAAGAAAAAGAAAAAAAGATGAATTCGGGGGAAAGTCCCATCTATGTATGGTCAGATGAAGCCATCTCTGTGGGTTTGGCCACATTTAGTCCTGCAGTTAGTAGAGTGGAGTGTGAGTGTTATCTCCCACATACACTGAATGCCCCCCAATTAACCTGTCTGTTGTGCGTGATTTCTACCCTGTGCTTGAGGTTAGCCACACATGGAACCTGGAAGGGAAGCCTGGACCACTGTTGATACTCAGACATCACAGACAGTTAGCCTGGACTCAAGGAACAGGGCCCAGCACCCGTATATTCTGCCGTGGGATAAGGCGGTTTTTGTTGGAGGCCTGGTGCTGCTGCTTGGGAAGGGTGGGGGCAGATTAGATAAGAAGGGGCCCTGTTTTTGTTTGTGTGTGTGTGTGTTTTTTCCCCCCTAGAACAGGAAATCCCTCTGAAAAGAGGTTCCAGAACAAACCCCTTCTAAGGGGACTGGGTCATCGCAGAATAGACAAAGTTAGAGGACAGACTCGTTCTCAGGCCAGCTTGGAATTCAAAGCACAGGGATTAATGTAGCCTTTACTCTTTGGAGTTGTCTTGAATCAAGGAGTTGCCTTTTGTCTGTCCCGTATGGCTCATGGTTGAGCATTGAGTCAGGAACCAGGCGATTGAGGTTCTATTCCCAGCCAGAGCACATGCCTGGGTTGTGGGCTCGATCCCCAGGAAGGGGCATACAGGAGGCAGCCACTCAATGATTCTCTCTCATCATTGATGTTTCTATCTCTCCTCCTTTCTTCTCTCTGAAATCAATTAAAAAAACACCCACATATATATATTTTTTAAAGTTGTCTTTTTATCTGGCTTAATCTTGTTCCTGTATCATTGTCTTCATCTCTACCTTTTTCCACTAAAGAAAACAGCTCCTGGCTAACACAACAAAATGTCATATTTCTGGATGAAATGATGTGAAATCTCTCAGAATAAATGTGAGAGAAGGCCTGCTTTGTTTTTGTTTGTTTGTTTCCTTTTTAAAAAAGTGGAAATAGATCTGTTTCTGTTCTCTTTTTATGGTTATCTAATCTTCAAGGAAGTCAAATGTGGTTGAAATGAGAGTTCCTATCTGTTACAGACATGGACACTTTTTACTGACTTTGGTTTTTCTCTTTCTCTTTTAAAGCCAAGCAGATGCCCGTGGAGATGTCCAGGTCAGTGTGTGTCCGGGGAGGAGAGGCGGCTGCTCCGTGGGCGCGGACAGACTTGTCTGTGGGGAGAGTCTGGCCATTAGGAAGCGCTCAATGGTTCTTGGGAAACTCTGAATAACAAGGGTGTGAATAGTGTGTGTGTGTGTGTGTGTGTGTGTGTGTGTGTGTGTGTGTGAAAGATTGCCAACTGTCCTTTCCTGTGAAGAAATAGCTTTATTCTGAGGTCACGTCCTTCCTATACAGTTACGTGTGAAATCCCCTTTCCCTTATGAAATTACAATGGTAGTAGGTAGAATTTTTAAAATTTACCTACTTTGCAAAATAGAGTTGGCCTATATATATATATAGCAGTCATACTAATTTTACTGTTCTTGAGATTCAAAATTCAAAAGCATGGGTACAAAAGAAGAAAAATTTAAAAAGAGAACAAAAACAAGCAAACAATGGCTTTGTAGCACAGAATGAGGGACTCAGGGGGGTGGGCTCAGTTAGGGAAGGACTCCTGTTGTCACTGTGCCCATTGGCCCCGACACACATCTTAACAGCAAAAAGTGCTTGTTAAATAATCTGACCGAAAGAAAAAGTCGGTTTTCCAAACGAGAGAGTAAAGTTGGCCTCATTTCAGAAACCTCTTCCTGGTTTTCTCATGATTATTTTGTTGGTTTGACATTAGAGCCAAAAAATGGTATATTTTTTTCCTTTTCAAATTTCCTTTTAAGGCCGGCAGCACCGCTTCTGACCTCCAACAATGAGAAGATGTCAGGATCCAGTCCCGAAGCCAACAGACCTTATGGTACAGTCACGGGTTCCTGCAGTTGCTAAGAGGTTTCCCAACTTGCTCCCTCCTCTCAGGAGCAGGCGGTGGGAATAAATTCCTAGGGAAGCCCCACCCTCAGGAGGGACAGTTTAACCTAATCAGCCATTGGACGGTGAGCTGATAAGCAAAGCAGAACAGAAAGCCAGAACATTTTACTCTAATTTCACCACCTTCTAAACATCCCAGGAATGAAAGGTGGACCAAAATGGTAATGCTGTGAATTCCCATCCTGGCTCATCGTCACCCTCCCCTTGTAAGAGAGACCGGAGAGCAACTTGAGGCATTGATGAAACATCTTCTCAGCTGGTATTATGACAAGCACAAGACATTTTCATCTCGTACTTGACACAACAGGAAACTAATTGAGTTATTTCCCTGTTATTAGAGGCATTTTGAAAAAGAATGCAACAACATAGGGCTACCTGGTATAAGCTTGCGTCAGTGCAGTTGGGTGGGTAGCCAATCCCAGGAGTTCTTAATCCCTTTAAATCTAAGAGAAAATTGCTCCAGAGGGGACTGTAATTACATCGCACAGGAAGTTTTGTCCTGGGCCAGATTTGGACCAGTTTTCTTTCTTTTTCAGCAGGTTTGGGAGTAGGATGCCCATGTTCTTTTCTAAGTTAGTAACAGTATTCCACAAAAATAAGAAAAAGTTCAGAAGAAAAGTACAACAGAAAAAGAAAGGAAGAAAGAAAAAGATTAAAAAATGTAAAGAGAATAAAAATAAATATGTAAATAAGAAAATTTCAGGATATGCCTTTTGCAAGGCATACTTGAGAGATATGTTTTAAGAATCCATCAATTCTTTTAGTAATAAATCATAAAATTTTAAAAAGTGAAATGAAACATTTATAGTAAGAAAAGTAATGCTCCAATAAAGAGAAAAGAGCAAATAAATTATTTAAGAAACAACATTCAGAAAACTTTAGAGACTATTTGGCCAAAAAGGAATCCAGTGCTATAGAGAAAATACCCTTTTTTGTGGTAGAAAATGGGTTCTGCTGACTATTATATTATCTAAACAGAAATACTGAGATACTTTAAATGGAATGTTGATATAGACATATTAAAACAGAAATTTCCCCCAGAATTTCCAAAATGCAAGAAACAGTCTTGGGTTATCTCTCCATGGATTATTTCAGTTTATCAATATATGTTGTTAATCACAATAGCAATTAGTTCAAATATATAATGGGAAGCCTTGTGTTCATCAGGGATAATATCTATATGTATAAAAGCGTAATATGCTAAGTGTCTGCCCAGGTAATGATGTCATGTAGCAATGCCCGGCTTCCTCTCCCTAGAGACTAGCCTCCTTGTAGTTTCTTCAGCCCAGGAACACGACTTACTTTAAGCCAGGTGGAAACATTTCACACTTTAACCAAATATCTGTGAAGTGTTTTCCCTTGCCTCACCTCATTTGACCCTCACAGAAGTCGTGGAGTAGGTAGATAGGAGATTCTATTTTCTTTTCATTAGTCAGAAAACGGGGATTTAGAAAGCTTAGAAACTTGACCCGACTGAAAAGAAGTAAGAAATGGTATACCTTGAAAATGACTTCAGGTCATTTTCACTGCACAGAATATATTAAAAAACAAAACAAAACAAAAACAAAACAAAACTGCTGCACTTAAATATTTTACCCTTAGTTCTCCCTGTGTGATCTACAATAATAATCTGCTTTGTGTTGATATTTACTGCTGTGTTTCTGACAATTACCTGAAAGAGAAGTTGGGGTGCTTCAATGGGCTGGAAAAAGTTTAGCTAAATCAGAAAGCAGGTCTAATTAAGCAAGTTTACTCTCTCTATATAAAAGGCTAAGTTGACTCACACTTTTGCGATACATATAAAGCTCTCACTGGCACCAATTGCATGTGTGTTTCCATCTGTCGTTGTCGATCATGAATTTGGTTGATACTTCTATTATAGAGAAAGGGAAAATAGCCATATTAAAATATTTCTCCTAATTAATTTCCTTTCAATGTGCACAAATTTGTGCACCAGGCCACTTGTTTATTTATAACATTCTGAAGAATTGCTTTTAATAAAGAATGACCTGGGGCTGGGGGCAGGCTAGAGGGGGTCAATGGGGGAAAGAAAAAGGGACATATGCAATACTGTCAACAATAAAGATTAAAAAAATAAAGATCAACCTGATTAAATGATCAAACATTTGTTTGCCTATTGAGGTGGCAGCTTGGAGGCATTGCCTTTTAAACCTGTTCTCACAGGTCCCCTTCTCCTGCTTGAGGAGGTTAGCACTCTAGTGTCCTTCCTGGTTGTGGTTACAGAGCCCTCCCTTCTGCAATTAAGTTTAATTTCTCATGAACTTGCTCAGAGTGAACAATTCGGAATCTTAAACCATTCACAAGCAGAAGTGTCCCTCCCCCGGAATGGCGGTCATCCCACGGGTGTTAGGGAGAGGCCACACAGTGGGTTGGCTGGGGCCACAGGGAGACCAAGAGGGGATCCAGAACCCAGAGACACTGCTGGGGAGGGGAAAGTGGGGATGAAGGAGGAGGGAGAAATAAAGTTATGTATAGAAAACTAGAATTTCCATTGCCACCCATCCTAATTGTTATTTTTCAAACTAGGTTACAATGAAGATATTGGAAACCATGAAACAAACCCAGTGAAAGAAAAGAAAGGTAATTATATAATGTAGTGGGTTTTTTAAATATTAGAAATCTTTACGTGAATAAAGACCCCTAGGAAAAGAACTAAAACGGTTCATACCTGTGGGTGGGTATTTCCCCACCTCTCTTAATGGTGTCAGCGGCTGATAAGTAAAACGGACACTTTCTCCAAAGACACATCTAGTGTCATTAATGAGAAAGTGACCTAAATTGGGGTAGGAGAGAACTGGGTTAGACTCAAAAAAGAACTTCCTAAATCAGAATGGACTACTGAATAAGGTAGGAGGATCTCTTTTCTCTTAGAGAGTAGAGGAGGAGGTGGGTATTTTACTTTATTTTAGTTTATTTTTACTAGCATCACTGCAAACCATCAGGTTGGACATCTTCAACTTAAGTTATATGTCAATTCTATCTCAGAGAAGCTGGGAGAAGAGTGTTAAGGGGCTGGTAAAAAAAAAAAAAAAGGATGATGGTAAGGCATGCAATTATCTATTGAGCTTTTTAAAATTTTATTATAGTTTTATTGATTTTAGAGAGGAAAAGAGAGGCGAGAGAGATAGAAGCATCAATGATGAGAGAGAATCATTGATTAGCTGCCTCCTGTACTCCCCACATGGGGGATGAAGCCTGCAACCCAGGCATGTGCCCTGACTGGAAATCGAACTGTGACTTCTTGGTTTATAGGTTAATGCTCAACCATTGAGCCACACCGGCCAGGCTACTTAGCTTTTACTAACCCTCCCACTGCAGAAACACCAGGGACCCAGGCAGGAGGGCCCCTCCATGTTCCAGGGAGTGCTCCGCTAACACTGCCTTCCCCTGCCCGAGATTTCTCTCCCACTTAGAATGGAGATACACCTGTGTTGGCTTCCCTTCAAATTACGGAAAACTTTAATCATATGAATGGAAATCTTCAAGGGGAGTCTGTCTAACCGCAGGGTGCTGTGTCTCCTTTGGCAGAGCCTCTGACCTTGGACGTGGAGTACACAGAAGTGGAAGTGAACTCCCTTGAGCCTCATGAAGGTAAATGCCATCATTCGAGTGATTCCTCACCCTTTGCTCTCTCCTGGGTAAGGTGGGCTGGGACCCAGGGACAAGGGACCAGTAGCCCTCAGTCGCTCAAGAAGGGAGGTAGTCAGTCAGCAGACAGACCCGCTGAACATGCCTAAGGCAGAAGCAATGACCCCACCCTGGCTTTGAGGTGTAAAATCTCATCAATTACTATTTAGCATACTATGAATAATGGATATGTTTTATTGAGCAATTTACTAAGCCCTAAAAAATGTGTTTTTTGAGACTTTTTGAAATCAGCCTCACTCCTGGGTTTTTGAGCTTTCTTCCAGAGGTATACCCCCTGGCTCAAACCCAGCATCCTCTTTAAAAAGTTGCTTGCAGACAGAACTGTGTAAATGAAATGCATGTTTGAGCGTAGTGGGTGCTTTGCTATTTAAAGGAACACTTGGGGAAAGGCTTTTGAAAGCACAGAATCCCTTCCTGTGTAAATTAGTGGCTCTGAGAAGGTATGACAGGTGATGCCTGTTCCAGCGTGCATGGCCCCTGGAGGCCCGTTTGAGGGGTGACATTTAAGCTGCAGCCTGAAGGGGCACAAAGAAGGTGGAAGGACCCAGGAAATGAGAAGGGCAGTGTGAAGGTGGCCCAGAGCATGGCTCACTTAAGGATCTGCAGAGAGAAGAGGCAGATGGAGCTGAGCCGACGGGATGGGGCCTCCTAGGTCCTCTTTGCATTCTGGTCTCAGCGGATTTGGAAGCCTGTAAGCAGGGAAGTGGCAGGTTCCAGCTTCCTTCTTTAAAAGGCAATCCCTCTGGCTGGTGTGGAGGACGGATGTGACAGGGAACAAGAATGTTATCAGTAGACAAGAGGGGGTAGAGCCAAAGTGCTGGCGATGGATGGATTCCAGGTATATTCTGCAGACAGATCGCAACACTGGATGAAAAATTTCACAGCCAGGATGGGCGAGACAAAATTCCTTCATGGCTGGCCGTGATGTCTGAGATCGGGAGAAATGTGCCCGTGATGGCCACTGATTCAGTTGGATTAAATTCCAGGTGCCCAAGAGGAGGCAGCACAGGGGTCTCGTGCTCAGAACTGAGTCTGGGAGGGCTGTGGCAGATGGGACCGTGAGGGGACTCCCTGCAGCCTTCCCTGGTCCAGCCTGAGCTCCTCCATCGCTGGGCATCCTGGGCTCGGTCTGCGGGTAGCAGCTTACTTCCTCCTCAGGAGACATGGGCTACAGAAGAAAGGAGGATTCTAACAAGAGGGCACTTCTAACCCTGGCTGGCAGCTGGCCAAGTGTCCCTTGAGGGTGGAGGAGGGGCAGGAAGGAACTCGGTAAACCCCGGTTCGCTGCCTGTTTGCTCTGAGCCTAATTGCTGGGAAAACCCCATGAGGTTGAAGCCATCTCTTTCTCTGTCAACAGAGAACAACAAGCCAAAATAAAGGCCCATCTGGAAATCTCTGACGGCAGAGACAAACAGCCTGCTGGCTGGTTTAGTCATTAGCAGGCAGCTGCTGGCAGCAACGGGGGGAGGGGAGTGATGAGCTGCAAGCTCCCACCCACCACTGAGCTGGGAAGAACCAGGAGGGCCCAGGAGAAACCCCTGGGGCACCACGAAGAGGCAGCCACCCTGCTGCCCAGGCTGGCAAGCCGTTAGGAGGTGAAAGGGGGTTGAGTGTGGCTCTTCGGGTCCAGAGGGTGATAGTGTCCCCAAGGTAACCAGAGAGGCCACCCCTATGCACCTGGGACAGCAGAGTTCACAGGGTGTCCAGGGCCCCGGGCTTAGCCCTAAGGGCCCCCTTCCCCTCCTCCACTTCCATGGGGGGCTGGGTCAGAGGATGAGCTGGCAGCGGCCTGGTGCACCTGGACACCTGGCCCTACAGCGCTGCTTGCACATCCATCACCCCGTAGCCTGCGTCTCCTGAAAGCTGGCCCAGTTCCCCGTTTCCTCTTCTGTGGTGCCCGGCACCCGGGAGCTGTTAGGATCACACTGAGCGAGGGGCTGGCCAGGCCTGACATTGAGCAGAGAGTCCCCTTGGGATGTGGTGGGGACTCTCTTGAAGAAGCCGCCTTCTTCAAGGCCCTGGCAAGCCCCAGTGCCTCAAGTTCAGCGCGAGGATCTGACTCACCCCCAGGCTGTTTCTGGCATTCGGGTGCTGCCACAGAGCCCTCACCGTTCCGTGTGTAATGGATGACCGGGATCTCGATCCTGAAACCAAAAACCTCAGGGATGGGGCTGATTGTGCCAAGACCTTCCCGAAGGCCCTGGATCTTAGAGACACTCACAGGGACGTTGACTGGTGCCTTCGGCTGTCACATCAAACCTTTCCAGGGGCCTCCAGGTAGCCCCGCAGGTGCTGGGGCGGGGAGGTGCCCAGGACCCCGGGCGCTGCCCTGGAGGAGCTCCGGGGCCAGCAGGGGAGGCAGCCGTGGGGACAAAGAACGTCAGCGTGTCCTGGGAAGTGTCCCCGGAGTGCTGTGAGGCACAGGGGCCTCTGTCACTGCCAGGGGCACAGGAAGGGGTGAGTGTGTGAGGGAGTATGTAGATGTGTGATGGAGTGTGTGTGCTCTGAATATAGGAGCCATGCTTGTCCTGGGGTTTAGAGGATGAGGAGGAATAGCGCAGAGAGAAAGGCCATGCGGGTAGTAGAGGGATTTGTGCAGGATCAGGGGCACGAGAGGGGGGTGTCCCTGGAACAGGGCGAGTTGAGGGTATCTTGGTGCAGTTAGAGCCCATGGGTATGCCCTGGCCATCTGCCACTGAGAAAGAAAACGTCTACATGGCACTGGCTGTGGCAGCAGGAAGGTCTCACTGTGTTGGGGCTCCGTTTCCCAGTGTGCAGAGGGAGCATGCTGGCCACGTGGCATCAGATACCTTTTCACAGGGAGGCTTCCCGTGCTCAGTGCAGGTGAGAGGAGCCAGGGACGCAGCTGGGCTCCATCCTGTTCCCTGAGGGTCTGTGGGTGTGTAAGTGAGTGTACGCACGGGTGTGCAGGCCTGTGTGTGCACACTATGTGTGCATACTGTGTGTGTGGACAATGCGTGTAGGTGTACTAGGAGTGTGTGTCCATGTGTGTGTATACGGGCAGTGCCTATACTTAAACAGATGGCCGAATGGGTGCTCCTGGTCTCCCAACCCTTGTGTCTCCTCTGGGTGGAATCCACACCTGGGTGGCCCATCTGGCCTGCTGTTTCACAATAGCCCAGCCCAGAGGATCTCAGCCCAGTCTCATGTTTGGCTTAAAAAATCATCAAAGCCAGGGCCCACCCCAGACAAATGCAAACAACAGCTGCAGTGAGGCCCAGGTGTGGGCACATGAACCTGAGCCGCCCAGCTGCCTAGGTTTGTAAATGGTCTCCGTCCCAGCTAACCCTCAGGCACAGAGGACACCCAGGCTGTCACCCGGACCTCGGGCGATTGGGAAGCTGTAGCCAAGCCTCCTGGGGCACAGTGCCGCTGGACACGGGACACAGTGGCCGGGAAACAGGGAGGAACCCTCCCCGTTCCCCTCCCCACTCCCCCCAGCTTCAGGCTGCAGTCCCCTCTGGTCCTGGGTTCCCAAGGTGACCTATTAGCTCCTACTTCCAGCTGAGTGACACTGGTTAGGCCAGGTCTTCTACAGCTGGGAAGTGGCCCGGGCTTAATGGTGAGGGGATCGATCTGCATGTGCTCCTGAAGATGGCGCTCATGGGCTGGGGTAGCAGGGTGCAGCCTTCCTGGGGAGCCTCAGGCACTCTCCTGCTTCAGTAGTGGGCCCGCCTGGTTCTCAGAGGCAGCTATTGACCTGTGCCTGGTCCCTTTCCAGGTCTGGGAAGGAAAGGCACGGAGACAGTGTACAGTGAGATCCGGAAAGCTAACCCCGGTGAGTGAGGGGCCCTGACCCCCAGCATCATCCATGAGGTCCTGGGAGTGGGCAGGCAAAAGAGGGAGCAAAGGAGGTCAAGAAGGGGTGCCAAGACCCTGAAGGGCCCTGTTTTGTTGGGAGTCCTCAAGGCCAAAAGAAGTTACACAGAGTTGACTCTCACCAGGCAAACAGGCGCCCAGCAGCTGGGTGACTTGGACGGGAGTGGGTGCTGGCAGCAGTGTGTGTTCACAGGACACTCGGCAGAGCTCTCCTGTGACCTCTGGTGCTGAGCCCCCTCTCCCCCAAGAAGGTCTTAGACAGAGTCGGCGCTTTGCTTTGAAGATGGTCAGTGGCTTCAGCCTTCCCGGGGGCATGCGGACCTTGGGGGAGGGAGTCGGATCTGCTCCTTTCCCTTAGCCTCTGCCTAGACCCACTTCCACTCCCACCTCCCCGCCTGCTGGTGAAGAGCGCAGTGCCTGGCAGACATGGAACCGGGATGCTCCCAACCATCTTGTTTTTTGTTATAATTATAGTATTCCATTCTGCAGAAATGAAATCTACAGACATTACTTTTAAGTTCTGAAAATAAACTGCAACCTAAAAGGCATAAGCATCCTGGGGCAGACAGTTGCTAGAGGGGCATGTTCCTTTGAACAACAGACCCCTATTTAAATGAATTCTCTGGAAGGGAATTCTTAAAGGGGGCTTGGGAGACTCAGTAAAGCCCGGCTAATGCGAGTGTGGTCCACAGGCCGGAAGCAGCCATGGTCCCGGGCCCAGCCCGACCCACAGAATCACAGTTGCCAGAGTCTGAACTCTAACATGTTCCCAGATGTTTCTGATGCTGACATCATTTGAGAAGACAGGTAACTGTCTTACCCGAAGAGCCTACTTTTTCTCTGAAATAGAAATTTTTTTAAAAATGCTATTTCATGGTTGGAGCAGAAACTCAGCCCCTTGTGGGACTCAACACTAATTTTTGAAAACCATTTGCAGAGGAATTTTTGGCTTAAGTACCTGATTTTGCATTTTCAATACATTCAGAGCTAGTAAAATGTAAATTTGGAAATAAACGGGCTTTCTCTCTTCTCCTCTCTGTTCGTCCATGTAACAGAAAGCTGAAGGTCAGGTAGTTTTCAAGGCTGGTCCTGTTCAGTAACTGCAAAAATGTCTCTTCCGCTTTCCTCCTGTCCCAGGCATGCTTCCCTGCAAACGCTCACATTGACTGAGTTTTGGGCCAAGTGGTCTATGTTACATGATCTCTTTCAATCCTCACAATAAATCCCATTTTACAGATGAAGATACTGGGGCATAGAGAGGTTAAAATACTTGCCCGAGGTCACACAGCAAGCAAGTCCCTGAGAACCGGTCCACCCCAGAGCCAGGCTCTGTGCTCCTGATCCCTGAGCAGCACTGTCTTTGGAAGAGAAGCTGGTAGGCGGGCAGGCCGCAGGGATAAGGCCTTGGGGTCTGCAGTCACCTAAGGCTACCCCTGGAGGCCCCTTCCTGCTGCGGAAGGCCACGCCCAGTGTGGATTCCCAAGGGCTGTTGTCAGAAGCCCTGCTGAAAAAAGACAGATTAACAAGAGGAAAATGAGCAAGTGATAAGTAACTCGATAGAGAGATTAAAATGTGTGGCTCGTTTAGCGTGTTAACCAAGAATAATAAATTCTCAGAGAAGTGACAAAACAAAGGAAAAGGGGTTCCAGGGTAGAGAGCTGTGGGAAGGTAAATACATGGGGGACAGTCCTTGGGGTGTCAGGCTGATTTGTGGGTGTCCACCTCGGCACCAACTTTTCCTTGTCTTCATGACCATAAAACTTTCTGGGACAGGGGATGTATGGCAGTTCTTAGGCCTCAGAAGTTTCTGCTTTTACTCTGATAAGAGAAGCTCCCAGTTGGCTTCTTTGTGCATCCGCTGATTCTCTGCTTCCAGCTCTAAATAACTGTTGTGCCAAAGTGGCAGTGGCGTATCTCAGGGCGGTGTGTTCTGGTTTCCTGCATCTGCTTTGAGGCAGCTGCTCAAGTGGGCTCTCCCGGGGTCCCCAGGCTGGCTCCAGGTGCCGGATCCTCAGTGCCAGGCTGTCGGAATGTGACTGCTCCCTCTGGCCTTGGGACGGAATGGACCGCAGGCACCACAGCAGCCCCGGAGGGAGGGATTCAAGACCCTGAAGGGCCCTGTTTTGTTGGGAGTCCTCAACCTCTCCAGCTGTGTGACTCTGACCCTTTGACCGAGATGCCCAACGTCTTTGAGGCTGAATTTCTTCAACTGTTAAATGGAGATGGAATTCAATGAGAAAGGGGGATGAGACAGGATCAGGGGAGATGGTGCTAATTACCCACCCCACGCAGGCAGTCAGTGTATTATCGCTACTTTATAGCGAGCATTCAGTCTGTTTTAGCTGGAAAACACAAGAGGAACTAGAACCCAGAGCCCAGGTTGAGACCAAAGCCATCTCTCAACTCCCAGGCCAGGGAGCTCCCATCTGGGCCAGCAGGGGTCAGTTGGGCTTAGTTCCCGTCCTGGAAGTCAAGGCACTTCCTGTTTCTGTTTCCCTCTCGGCTGCTGCATAAAGAGGCCTTGGTTGATTCCTCTTTTCTTTCTCTTCCTCTTACTGTCAGATGCTCACTCAATTCTCAAAATCATCATAGGGCCGATGGAGGATCTGTTATTTCTCCTGCTCTACAGAGGAGGAAATGGGCCTTTGGTGCCAAGGCCAGCAGTGGCCCAGCAGGGACTCTAGGCAGGGATCCTGGCTGCAGAGCCTTCACACATCCACTGAGTATAAACCGATTGACTGAGCTTCTTCTACATTTTCCTGCTTTTTTGTTTGTTTGTTTGGTTGGTTGGTTTCCACATTATCACCAGCTTAATTATAGGATTCTACTCTCTCTAATTCAGGAGCTAAGGGTAACAGCCTGGTCTGGTCTAGTCTGGGGGACTCTGAGTGAGCCATGGAACCTCTCTGGACCTCGGTCTCTGTGAAATGAGGGGCATGGGCTTGGATGTAGAACAGGGATTTCCCGGTTTGTTTAAACACAGGTGGCATGGCACCACCTCCTGCATTTCCCACTCAGTAGGTGTGGAGTGGGGCTGAGAGTTGCATTTCCAACCAACGCCCACAGCTGCTGCTGCTGGTGGTCTGGGGACCACACTTTCAGAACCGCTTTCTAGATCAGGGGTGGGGAACGTCCAGCTCCAGAAATCGTTTGGTCTGGCCCTGCCAAGGGCATTAGGGGTGAGTTAATTAATTGTTGACCAAATATAGCAGGTTAATTTTTAAGTTGAAAATGTTGTATGGCCTGAGAATGATGTTATAAATATCCAAATAGCCCTTGGCAGAAAAAAGGTTCCCCACCCCTGTTCCCTTGATGGTGTCTACTCTGAGTTCTGCTTCTTGTGTGAAGGTGTAGGGTCTTCCTTGCCCTCATTGATCTGGAGGGATGGCTGAGGGTGGACCGCAGAGATAACCGTGTGTGTGTGTGTGTGTGTGTGTGTGTGTGTGTGTACCACAATAAAACAAAAGCTCTGGTGGGGGAATGGGTCTCTGGATAGGTCCGGGAGCAGGTTGAGGGCAGAGCTGAGTCTTATCTGACCTTTCCTTCTTAATTTTTCATTCTTCCCCACCTTAATTTCTCAGTTCCCCAGCGTCTTCCAACGGGCAGCACTTCAGGACTGGCTATTTTGGGAACTGGCTCACAGGGCGTAGTTCTGGCTCTTAAACCCTATTTTCCCCTGAGTGATACAAAAGCAAACTGCTTTTCTAGATAAGCGACAGGGCACTGGGCAGGCCTGCCTCCACGGAGCAGCCCCAGGACAGGGCTCTGGGTAGGACCTGGCTGAGAAGTGTCCTGACTGAGACGTGATCTCATAAGCTGTGGGAGGCACAGGTCCTTGTGACCTGAGCTTCAGTCTCTAAGCTCGGCTTTATTTACTTCCTTACTTATATATTTATTTAGAAATGTGTTTTTATTGATTTTTAGAGAGAGGCAAAGAGAGAGGGAGAGATAGAAACATCCATGTGAGAGGAACATCATTGATCGGTTGCCTCCTGCACGCCCCCTACTGGGAATGGAACCCGATACCTGGGCACGTGCCCCGACCAGAATTGAACCGGGGCCTCTTGGTGCATGGTTGATACTCAATCCCTAAACCACACCGGCTGGGCTTATTTATTTATTTTAACTGTGGTACAGTATACCTCACAATTACCATTTTAACCACTTTTAAGTGTACATTACAGGGGCATTAAATCCATTCACAATATTAGACAACCATCACCACCATCTATCCCCACAAGTTTTTCCTCTTCCCAAACTGAAACGTCATCCCCATTAAACAAAACCCCCTTCTCTCCTCAGCGCCAACAACAACCAGGCTACTCTGTGCCCCTGTGAGTGTGACTAAGCTCCGCCTTTCATCTGTCAAAGGAGGTGGTAGAAAGCATGATCTTTGTTGCCTGTCAGTGATAACATTCAGAGAGTTTCAGTGTCCCGGTATTTGGAAGTGACAGTCATGGTCATTGGTCTATGCCTCAGTCAGTCTGGAAGCATCCATCCCGCTGAACATGTTGGTGAGGAGGGCGTTGTCAGTCACTTCTAGGAGTCACTCCCTTAATCCCAGTCCTAATCCTTTACCCACTCTTGATTCCAAGACCACATAGGTATTTGCCTTGAAGCCTAAGTTTCTCCTTCAAGTCTAATTAAGTTAGGGATCTCAGGGGCCCAGTTATTGGGTTTCTGCTGCATTCACGTTGGCCAGAGTCCTGCTTGAATGGTTCTCTGTACTGTGAACCTGATGGAGAACATGCTACATAGGAGATGGAGACCTGGGGTTTGGTCTCAGCTCTGCCCTTAGCAGGTTATATGACTTGACCCCTCATTTCTCAACCCCCTTCCATCCACCAGTGGTAATTTTCTCATTAATTCTCAACAAAATGCCCTGACCCATGTAGAATTACTGTAAACACATCCGTGTACGTGGCCCTAAGGTGGATAAGGAAGGGCTGTGGTAGGCAG